AGTCGGTAGGAAGCTTGTGGAGCTGGACTGCCTGGGTTTGAATCTGGCTTCTGCCAATGAGGGCTGTGGGCCTTAGGCCAGTTGCCCAACTTCTTCCTGCCTCAATATCGTCTTTCATTGTGGATTAATTCATTCTGCAAATATTTACTGAGCACCTACTCTGTGCTAAGTACTGTCTGGACACTGTGGGTTGCAGCAGTCAGCCAGACAGACACAAATCCCTGCTCTGGTGGGCCAGGCTGACAGTAGAGATGAAGAAGAAAGTATATGGTGTGTCGGATGGTGGCAAGTGCTGTGTGTGTGCATGTGGGGAGAGAATTGCAGGTGTAGATTGAGAGGCCTCCCAGAGAAGATGACATTAGGGTAAGGAATGGAAGGAGGTGAGCAGTAAGCTGTGCGGTGCTTTGGGGAGAAGAGCCTCTCTGGCAGCGGGAAGAGCATGTGCAAAGGTCCTGGGGCAGGGATTTACTTGGCATGTTCATGGAACAGTAAGGAGGCTCTTGTGGCTTTTGCAGAGTTAGTGAGGGGGAGAGACGGAGGAGGTGAGGGCAGGGAGATGGGGGCAGGTGAGCAGGGTCTTGTGGGCCTTGGGGATAGGGGGCTTGGGCTGTGTCTTGGGGTGTGTCTGAGCCACAGCTGAGTTGGGTGGCTCAGACACACCCCAAGTTAGTGAGTTTGCTGTTGTGAAAGAATCTCTCCAAAGCTATTTAAAGCCCCCTGCCGGGTGTTTGAAAGCTCTGCTGGGGTTACTGCTTTCTGGCTGGGAGTGCCCTTTCCCGTAACAGATGTTATCCAGACGTCAGCTGGGGTCACTCAGGCCTCCGAGTTTTGGTGCCTGCTTCTTTCTCATGACCTGTGGGAAGCCCAGCACCCTCCTCAAGATGCCTGCAAATCCCAGGCTCTGCATTTCTTGGCCTGAGTTCCTGCCCACTGAACTCTCATTCTCATCCACTTTCCTGGAGCCGACGCTTTGGGGAACCAGCTCTGTTCCTGTGTGCGATCTTGGCACATGTACCTGGTCGCCCACAGGTCCCCCACAAGATCTGGGTGCTTTCCCTAATATCCTGCCATTCTGATGGTTTTAACATGGTTTGAGCTTCCATAAGACATTGCTTGACAAAAATTCTACCGCCCAAACAAAAAGTTCTTGCAGAACCCGGAAGAGTTTATGACTGGCTTAGAGTTAACTGGGCTGTCGTTCGAAGAGGACTCTCACTCAAGACGCCCAAGGCCAACGGCTGTGAGCAGCTGTCAGTGCTTTTGATGTCCAGTGGCTTGAAGGCGAGGAGGCAGGTAGGAGGAGCAGAGTTCGCTGCAAAATGTCAAGGCCAAGAGATGGGAGCTGACATGGAACTGAGAGCGAGGCCAGCAGAGCAAAAAGACAGCAACCTATTCTGGGGAGATAGCAAGAGACCAGAAACAGCTGCAATGAGCCAGACTCCTGGAAAATTAGTCCAGGGCTGCTTCAGACAGAACCTGCTGTCGATTCTTTTGGCAGTTCCTGTAGTAATCACTAACTGCTTTCTCAGGGTGTGGGTATTCAGGGCTCAGAGGTCAAAGCTGCAGCAATGGAACCGTGCAATAGGCAGGGGTGAGAGGAACCTCCCTGGGCAGGTCAGGACATGGAGACAAGCCCAGAACTTGTTTAGTTCCAAGACAAGAGTGCAGGGTGTGTTAGGAAGATGCATTGCACTCAAGCCTGGAATCAAGACCAGTTCAGCCCTGCCGTGATATGGACTGAATTGTACCCAAGACTGTTTTCTGTAAGGTGCGCTTGGTTTCTGCACAATTATTATTGTAGCATTTGGTGTCCACTTGACTAGAAACTTGACCCTTGAAATGGACCTTCAGAGTATATTGTCTGGTATTTCTTAATATTTCCTGGATCACAAACTCATTGGGAATTCTAACCCAGCCTAAAGACCACCTCCGACCCACTGCCTGCCCCTCTCATCCTAGGTATATTTACCCCAAAGATTTTTTTTGTGGTTGCCTAACCCAGGTTTAAAATTTCTGATCTTAGTTCGCTTCTCTCATTTTACACAAGAGGGAACAATCACAAGAACATAGCACCTTGCTCAGGGTTACACGGATAATCCATGACAGAGCTGGGTGTCGGCCCCATGTAGCAATTAACTGTAGAGTCAGAACTGGATGCAAACCCTATCTCCATTCCTTACCAGCGAGAGATGTAATCTTTCTCTGCCTCAGTTTTCTCATCTGCAAAATTGAGATAATAGTTGACTCCTTAGCTTGCACGTCTAACTTAGGTGGAAGTTTGAAACGAAGAAATCCTGCCATCTAGTGGCTCTGTGGTGAATAAAGCAGAATTTGTGGCACTGAAACATATATGCTGGCCACACCAATGTCTTTGTGTGGTTATTGTCAGGGATTAGTGGCTGCTTTTTTATAAGCGTACATTTCTTCTTCCAAAAAGAGCATGTATGAATACTGTATCAGTTAACCTTTGCTGGGTAACAAATTACACTAAAATATTAGTGGCTTAAAACAATGCTCATTTATTTATTTTTATTTTTATAATTTTTTAAAAACATCTACAGCACCTGGTCTTCCTGGATGGTCTCCTATCCAAGTTCTAACCAGGCCTGACCCTGCTTAGCTTCCGAGATCAGACGAGATTGGGCATGTTCAGGGTGGCATGGCCGTAGACCAGTGGTCATTTATTGATACTTGATTTTGTGGGTTGGCCATTGGGCTGAGTTCAGCTGGGGAGTTCTGCGGATCTTGCTTGGGGTCACTCAAAAGACTGCAGTTAGCTGGTGAGTTGGCTGGCACTGGATGATCTCGGAGAGTTTCACTCATGTGTTGGGTAGTCGCAGGATGTCACCTGAGGTGCCTTGATCTCCTTTGTGTGGCCTCTCCAGCAGGCTAGCTTGAGCTCATTTCCATGGTGGTTACAGAGTTGCCAGAAGAAGCATAGAGGGCAAGCCCCAATGTACAAACCCTTCTCCAGCTTCCACCTGTGCCGTATTTGCTAATGGTTCATTAGCCAAAACAAGTCACATGGTAAAACCAGGAGGAAGAGAAATAGAGTCCATGTGTTGATGGGGAGCTGCCAAATATTGTGGCTATTTTTTTTCCCTCTCAGTCTCCCACACACGTTTGTTGGTGAGCGGCTGGGCAATGAGTTGTCAGTTTAAAATTTAAAGGGTTTCGACCCTAAGAGGTGTTTTGCTTCTCAAAAGAAGAGAACTTATAATCAGAAACTAACCTCCAGTTGTGGAAAGTGACTTCCTCTACATGGATATTTGCATTTCTTTGTTGTGGGGTTCTCTTCCTCACCTATCTGCCCCCCATCATTTCTTTCCCCATTCCCTACCTCTTCACCTTTCACCTGCCTCATGGGTTAGACAGACTACCGTGGGCTAGCCTGGGAACTATATAGTCTTTCCCTGCACTATTCTCAGTGAATCATGCTGTCCAGGAATGGATGGGATGGTCACAGTCACCCTCTAGTCCTCTGCCATGGTGATTTAGAGAATGTCTCTGTTCCTTGGCTTAAGAAAGGGCCCACCGTAAGGTGGGCTCACATCTGTCTTGCCCACCACTTGCCTTAGAACAGCACCCGGCACATGGCTGACAATAAATATTTGTCCAGTGAATGAATGTCCATGGGCAGGGCTCAAGCCCCATCTGAGGGTTTACAGCTCTGAGAGTGCTCACTCATGTGCCATCCCAATGGCTCCTTCCTGTTGCCTGCTCTTCCGTAACTCTGAGCATGACCCCTTAGTAACATTTATTTTGACTACTTTCCAGCAGAGAGAAATCAAGGGTCTCAAGCTATCAAAGTCAGTCTGCTGCGATGTCAAGGTAATTTGTTCTGTGTTCACCTGTGTGGTCTCCATGTGCATGTGGCAGCCAGAATAATGCCTGCCTCCCCCAAAGTCATGCACATCCTGATCCCCAGAACATTTAATATGTTTTTTTTTTTTTCCACATAGTCATCACAAAAGGGATTCTGCAGATGTAATGAAGGTTACTGATTTTGAGATGAGAGATGATCCTGGCTTATCTGGGTGGGCCCATCTAATCACGTGGCCCTGAAAATCAGAGAACCCTTCCTAGCCGGGTCAGAAATGAGATGGAAGAAGAGGGGGGTAGATTTGAAGAGTGAGGGGACTTGATCTGCTGCTGGAGGCTTTGAAGAAGGGGAAAGGGTTGTGAGCCGAAAAACGTGAGCACCTTGAGAAGCTCAGAATGGTCCTCAGCTGACAGCCTGCAAGGAACCGGAGACCTCAGTCCTACAACTGCAAGGGAGTGAAATCTGCCAATACCCCGAGTGAGAAGGGGAACGCATCCTCCCCAGGTACCTGCAGAAAGGAAACTGGGCTGCAGATGCCTTTTTAGCCTGGTGAGTCCTGTATGCACTTCTGACCTCCAGAACTGTAAAATAATACAATTGTTGTTTAAACTAAGTCACAGGGAACTAACACAGCGTGGAAATGACTCTCTCCCTTTTCCCAACAGAATGGTTTCAGGCCCACCTGTTGGAGCCAGTGTGTCCCTCTTTGAGTGGCTGAGGGTCCATTCTGGGTGGCCGGCTGTCCAGCAGTGGATGGCGAGTGACCACCATGAACAATTGAGTGTTTGCTTGTGAACACTGTTCTCTCTTCCCCCGACCTGTTACCTGGATGTGTGGAGATTGGGTGGGGCCTGCCCTGCATCCTACTATAGGAAATCTCGTCAACCAGAACCAGGTAGGTCATATGGCATCCTGAGGGCTGGAGCCCGATGCTCCCCTGTCTGCCCAGTGCTTGGGGGATGCTGTGCTGGGGGAGATGCTGTGCCCAGGAGGAGAGGAACCCCAGGACTGACTCTCCTGACCCCCACTGGTGGAGGCCTTCCCAGTCTCAGTGCCTCAGCTACTTCAGGTATGTGGAGGTCAGGGGGCCTGGTGGATACTGTCCCTCACTGTCCCTCTCGCTTCCCATGGAGCTTCCCCCTCACACTCTCAGCCCATCCATCCAAGCTGGTCCAGTTAGGTCAGGCAGGCATCTCAGAGGTGGGGGCTCAGAATGCAGCCGGGTAGATGAGAGATGGATCCTGACCCCAGCAGGTGCTGAGACAGAGGGAAGGGATCTGCTTTGGAACTGAAGAGGGCCTCCTCCCAGCAATGTCCCTGCGGAGTCCTCAAAAGAATGTAGGGTTCATGGGAGCTGCAGGGTCCCCCAGCTGGGACTTGGCTGATCTGATGACCTTAGACTCAGAGATGGATGGACATCCTCAACTCAGATGGATGATCCACTCCTGAACCAGGTGAGCTGGTGAAGGTGGGACTTGTGCCAGGCCAGGAGTGGGGTCTGGGGCCCTGGCTCTGGTAGGGGAAGGGATAGGGGCCGGGCCAGGCCAGGGCTGCAGTGGTTGACCAGGTTCGCCCCTGTGTGCATGCCATGTCTGCAGGTAGACACATGGGTGTGCAGACACACAGGTACATGCTTGCCTGTATACATACATATCCAGGTAAATGGACACCCTAATGAGCAGTACATTTCTTCTCCAACATCTATTAGCCCAGCCTCAATCAGAAAACAAAACCCAACTCCCCACCAGCCAAACGCACCCTCAGTCTCCAACCTCCCACCTGAAAATGGGCAACACAGACCAGCACCTGGCTCTCAGTACATATTTATTACCCCAGCTCCCTGTCCATTTGTCACCTTGACACCCAGTGAGCTTGGTTCCCAACATCCGTTTGTCAACAGCTGTACTTCCGCTAAATGATATGCAACACCTGAAATCTCTACCAGGTTAATGCCTGGTACTCTCACGCTTGAGTCCCTTTGTCACCCAGTACCCAAACAAGCTACTACTTGATTGTTTGACACCCCCCAAAAGTTTGCCACTTCCAAGCCCTATGCTTGTTCACACCTTGGCTGTGGTCAGGTTCTGGGAATGTAAACTGTGGCCTGATTCTACCCACTCCTTCCCTCCATGGGTGAGAGACCATCTGGGTCTCCTGACTATCGAGCAGTACAACTTGACCAGCAAGGCCTAAAGGCCCACGGGGCACAGACAGGGAGCTGAGAACACTTGTGCCTGAGCTTCTGCCTGCCTGTGGCTGGAGACCCCCATGCCCCAGCTTTCCCTTCTCTGCCTCCCCCACCACCCCAGAGCCTTGAGTCTGGCTGAGGCTGGCTCATCTCCTCCCCCCAAGTTGGGCAGTGCTTAGGTGGATGTCCCCTCTATCAGTCAGTGTCTCCAGAGAAACAGAACTAATAGGACATAGGGATATATGAGAGATTTATTTTAAGCAATTGGCTCATGTAGTTGTGGGGGCTGGCAAGTCTGAAGTGTGCAGGGTTGGATGGGAAGTCGGGTGGGAGCCGATGCTGCAGTCTTGAGGCAGAGTTCTTTCTTCTCCGGAAAACCTCAGTTTTTGCTTTTCGGTCCTTCAACTGATTGGATGAGGCTCATCCGCATTATTCAGGATAATCTGCTTTACTTAAAGGTAACTGACTGAAAATGTGAACCACATCTACAAAATACCTTCACAGCAACACTTAGATTAGTGTTTGATTGAATAATGGGTATGACCAATTTACACGCCCACTGGCAGTGCATGGAAGTTCTCATTGCTGCACATCCTTGTCAAACCTTGGTGTTGCCAGTTTGTGCTTTTAGCCATTCGAAAGATGCCTGCTGAAAAAAAAAAAAAAGATGCCTACTGAGAGCTCACTGTAGTTTTAACTCGAATTACTCTAACGTTTAAATGAATTTGTATATCATTGCATATGTTTATTGGCAACACAGATATTTTTTTCTGTGAAGTGACTATCGCCCACTTTTGCTCATTTTTAAATAAATATTTCAAATTTGGGGGAGAAAAAGAATAATGGTATACAGTAGCCTAGCCAGGCCGACACATAAAACTAACCCTCACATCCCCCTCTGTCCTCTCTGGCTGGGGGTGGAGGGATGTGGGTGGAGGAAGACCAGGAGCTATGGGTCCACTCAGACTCACACTTGCTGTGTAGCTTAGTCCTGCCCTGTCTTGGGGTGTCTTGGGGCCCCTATGGAGTTGGGGGGTGTTGCTTACACTGAAGAATCTCCTTTCTCTGGCCAGTCCTGAAAAGTACTCTGGGAGTCCCTAGGCGGTCAGTCCTGAATGGTTAAAATAAACTCAACTTCTCTCCTGTGTGAGCTGCCTCATCCATCCCCGGGGGCAGTGGGGTGAGGGTGGGAGCCAGGAGCAGGTGGGGCGCTGGTGGCGACGATGAGAAAAAGGGCTGAAAGTGACCCCTGGAAAAGGTGAGGCTCTGGAATCAACCTTCTCCACTCTGGAATCAATGTGATGTGGAGCGTTCGGGCTGGGGCTGAGTGGAGAAACTGAGGCAAGGTGGGTAATTCTCCACGACTCCAGCACAGAACCCAACAGGCCAGGTGAAGTGGAGCTAGGTCCTGCATTTCTTTTCTGACTGCATTCTCAGCTGCATTGGCTCCAGCCCCAGCTCCCAACCACTACCTCATCTTTTGGCCACAGCGATTGGCTCAGGAGAGGGCATGTACCTCACTCAGAGACAATGAGAGATTTTTTCACTTTGGGGCAACTGGAAGAGACCTCCCTTTCAATCTGGCCCTAGATGCTGTAGTTTGAGGATGGGAGAAAGGGCAATGGTCATTTTGTGGACCTTAGGGTTGGGATTGTGGCTTTAACTGCTGTATGGAGCAGAATATGAAGCATAAGTAGGCTGTAATGGCAGAGGGAAGAGACCAGAGCCTTGGTGATAGCATGTGAGCATCTGGATCAAACATTATGTGAAGCTGTCTGGTAAACCCATATTTATTGTGGTCATGAAGATAATGATATATGACACTATGTAGCCCTAATCACCTGCCAGACTCCTATCCTAACTGCTTGACATGTATTAACCTATTTAATTCTCCCCAAAACTCTTTAAGGTAGGTGCTATTCTTATCCTCATTGCACAGATGAGGAAAACTGAGGGAAAAGAGGAAAAGCAATCTGCCCAAGGCCACACAGCTAGGGTGGACAGAGCCAGGATGCCTGCACCCCTCATCCTGGGTGAGAACCCACCTCCTGCTTCTGTCATTTACATGCAAAGGGAACTGATTGATTCCAGGTGATGCCAGAGGCTGCACGACAGGAGAGAGGGAATTAGAGTCACTCCTCCCTTGCTGAGAACCTTCAGTGGCTCCCTGAGGCTCTGCCTGATGCAGCCCCTGCTGTCATCTCCCACCTCCTTTCCCACGGCTGTCCCCTCAACTCCTCACTCAGCTCCAACTTCACAGGCCTCCTCTCCATTCCTACAACTTGCCTAACTTATTCTGGCCTCAGGGCCTTCGCTCTTGCCATTCCCTCTGCCTAAAATGCCCTTCCACTGCACCTCCTGGCTAACCTCACCATATCCCCAGGGAAGTCAGGGAAGTGGCCCCTGACCACCCTCCTTCCAACCCCAGTCCAGGCCAGTAGAGCCCAGATGTTAAGAACACACACTGCAGGCAGTCGGCCCGGGTTCAAATGCAATTCCATCACTTCCTTGCTGCGTATCCTTGATCTATTACTTTGATCCCTCTGCACATCAGTTTTCTTATCTGTAGAATGAGGTAATGGTGGTACCTGCCTCACAGGTTTGGGTAAAAAAAAAGGAGGTTGTTATGTGTAAAGTGATTAGAACAGTGCTGGACAGTCAGAAGTCACATGGGCAGCAAATAATAATAATGATGACAATAATAATTGCTATTATTCTGTACTTTCCTGCGACCACTTGGAGATTTTGTGTTTATTAAAACAGTGAAGCATTGTATATCATGAGATACAATAATTTTCACTGGCAAGTGTAAATATTAGTTCATACATGGTCTTTAGTGCTGAATTTGAATATCTTTAATGTGGAAACATTATTTTTATTTATTTTATTTTTTCAGCTATATTGAACTATAATTGACAAATAAATTTGTAAGATATTTAAAGTGCATAAGAAATTTGATCGGGTTAAGATGGTAGAATAGGTAAATACTGTGCTAGCTTCCTCTCATGACCACGCCAAAATTACAACTAAATTACTGAACAACCATCATTGGGAGTTGCCTGAAGTCTAGCTGAACAAACTTCCTGCAGTTGGGGACATACAGAGGAGGTCAGCTTGAGACTGGTAGGAAGAGTGGAGACATGGACAGTCTGGACTCACACCTTCCTGTTGTGGGTGGGAATCAGAAGGGTTATCTTGGCTGTGGGGTTCCCCCAGGAGGAATGAGGGGTCCCAGCCCTACACCAGGCTCCCTAACCTAGGGTTCCAGTGCCAGGAAAAGAAATCTCCACAATCTCTGGCTGTGAAAACCAGTGGAGTGAGATGGAGGGCGACTGAAGTTGCAGATGTTCATCTTAAGGGGCCCATGAGCAGACTTACTTGCTGACGGACTCACTTGCTTTGAGATCCAGTGCTGGGGCAGCTGCTTAAAAATCACCATGGACATATGAGGAGGAACTGAATTGTCTGGCTTCAGGGCAAGGGCTGGAGGGGCAGCTTTCTCCCAGACAGAAGTGCTAACAGAGGGCATTGTTTCTTTGTCGAGTCTTCCCCTGTCCTGGCATGCAGACCCAGGTGGCCCCCATAGCTGAGTCTCCATCACCCTGACTGACAGTGGTCACCTTGCCCATGTGATTCCC